GACAAAAAAATAGAAATACTAAATTTCGTATTCTAGCCGAGAAGATCAACGATTGCTTTTGATTTTATATTCGAAGTATTTCATTTATTATAGAAATCTCTTACGATACGCTGGTGAAGCGTAGTATCATTTGATAAAATCAGTTTACGATCAACGGTTTACATACAATTTCGTTGGAGCTGTGCTCCAAGTTTGTGACTTCAGTGAAATCAGACAGTTACAGTTTTATCGCCGTTTCGATTGACAATTTCGAAGGGAGAAAGCCAATAGTATTTCCTAATCAATCCTAAAGCAATTCGAATCGCCGGTACAAAAACATCGATGCAAAATAAGATGACCTGGCTGTGCGCCGAGCTGCTGCGGACTACTTCCGGACGAATGCGATCCTCATCGTCCGAGTCGCCATTACATTTTCATTATGGACGTGCCCGTGTCTCAATGGCTACTGCCACGCTAACGATATCTTTGAAATCTCGTCGCGGTCTAAAGTGAGATGTCTCAATCTACCGTCTTTCCGTTATCTCTCAGATCTCTCATCAAAATCGATTTCTATGGAAAAATACGATACGACGACGAAGAATATATCTATACAATATGTATTTACACGTTCGTCGTAGAGTACGAGTGGAAGATGCATCGGTGATTGTAATTGGAAAAAATATGTAGCTTAACTCTCTTGCATTCAGAGCTTAAGCTTTTCTTTATCGAGAGAAAGATCTATATTTTACATACGTGAAAAATTTTGATTACACATTTGCGAGGAAACTCGAACGATCGCGTGATGATCTCCGCATTTTTGCATGCCAGCGGGAATACAGGATCGGTCCAGGAGAGTTCCAAAGCCAATAAAGTGAGGCCTGGTGATACATGATCGGTGACTCGGTATACGTGTGTATATTGGAAGCCAAGACCACTTTGATATAGATTCCCGTATAGTTACTCGATATTTCTCTAGCATCGCGCTGCTTTGTTCCCGTATTACATTACGCCCCAGCGTTACGTATTGCCGGCACGCCTGAATACGACGGACTTTATTACCCGTTGGCTAGAAAAATACGCGCGGAAATGTAATTCATCGGCATATAGCATGCGCCGCCTTAGAATTTCACTATTGTAAATCGAAACAGTTATGTCGTAATAGAAAAGTACATTAATATTCCACGTCATTGATAATAAAGATTCGATTAGATCAGCAAACTATTTAGCGAATAATGACATACCGTAATACATCATGTAAAGCGATGTATCGCGAATGGATAAAAATTGTATTCTAAAATTTCTAAAGTTGGTGAAAAAACATGTAGTTCGTCACAGATGATTTTACAACGCGTGGCCGACACGATCGGCGATTGCCATCGTTCTTGTTAATGTTGCATAGTTATTAGCATTCCATTAGATTTAATGGACCAGCTGCGCGCTCATAAACAGGGAATGTACAGTGGTTTTGATTGTCGCAACTTTAAACTGACACTCGAATTCGTTCTAATTAATTTATTATGATCCGATTGCCGTTTGAATGGAAATTGAACGAATTAGTTATTATTTTGACGTAAATTCTCGTAGGTTTACGCAAAGAATTATTTATTTATAAAAGTGTATATAATTATTATTTAATAATTTTTTACAAAGAGAAGAATCAAGTGAAGTTATTATAGAGATTGTCGGATGCGCGACATTTTTTTACAATTCAATGGGAATTCAAGGGAAGAGAAAGTTTCGAGGTCTTCGCTCCTACGCAGATTGTCGATTGCAATGATTGCGGTTTAGTTTTTCGTCGGTACCGGTACCGCTACGGCTCGGTTAGCGATCGAAGGCCAATGGATTTCTTGTTTTCGCACTCTCGTTTATCTCGTGGATTCGCGGCTCTTTTCTGATTCTCTCATCTTGTTTGCTCTATTTAATCGGCGCTCCGTCGGCAAAATCCAAGAGAAATCGCGTAATCCCCGGAGAATCATTTCTTCTTGCATCAGTTATCGACATCCGCTGACAATCGGCATTTACGTCAAACCTACTCATATAATTTTGAATCGCGCTAAAGGAAATATAAAATATAAAGAAAAGACGGTAAGCTGAAAGCAACTTCTCGTATGAAGAAAAAGTCTTTGATCGCAAGGTTAGATCCATTTACATCTAGATATCTATTAAAATCATGCCGTCATGATTGTCGGCTACCGGTATTTGTCGGTAAATATGTTTAAAATGAGGTGAGAAGTAACGTAGCATTTAAAATATATCCGATCTAACTAACATATCTATCTATACGTATCAGTAGTAGTCTAACGAAATAATGATTAAAAGAAAAAAAATGAAATGAAATATTAACGCTGTAGCGATAAATCTTAAGATTATAATCCAATTTGAAATATATTCAATATTAGCAGATCCATTGAGATTATTACTCGGTATTGCGTGCCGAGGTGATTGAAGAGGAGAAGATGACAAGAAAAAAAGAGGCAAACACAGTAACACAGAGGTATTTAAAAAGTATACAGCTGTGGGGCTGAATATCTTACAGGTGTAATATTCCATCATGTTCTGATTGTATCGGTAGGCACTACTCAAAGTAGTGCTGAGGTCCATCGCGGCACTTCCGGGCCCGACGGCCATCGGGAATCCAGGCCTGCCTGCTTCTCCCGAAGCGGAGCAGATTTATATATAACGTACGAAACGCATCCGAAGGACCGGCGGTCCCATTGACCGCCGATAAAGACCTCTCACGCGACACGTTTCCTTCAGAAGAGGGAACTTTCGTCTCTTTTTTTACGCGAGCGAGGCGAGCCAACCTATGGCAGTGCGGCACAATGACTGTCATCAGGAGCGTCTTTGTGCCGGGCGACGGGTGGCTGCGGACAGCCGGTCAGCCGTCGCTTCATCTCCTCGAAATGAATCGAGCGCCGCCGAGTCTCTGGTCGCAAAGCCGTGAAAAAAATCAAGTCTGAAGTCACAACTCACACGTAGTTCACAAATGTCACGGAATACCATTCATAACCACTCGCCCACGTGAGCGTTCAAGAAATATCCTGTATTTGTTCAAATTTCTCGTAAGAGTTTTTTCACACGTGTGCCTTATGAGAGAGAGAGAGAGAGTTCTTATTTCTTCCAGAGAAAAATATTGCACATAGTTTTTATTTGCAAAAATATGTCCTCGGCGGAAAGTGGAAAATTCCAACGAGAGACAAATCTCTCGTACGATATACACTTAAAATACTTGTTTTACACATACGACAAGCACTGCTCTTGTCGTTCGCCACAATCACCAATCCACCAGTTCACTGCATCCAAGTGTTCAGTGTTAAAACTCGAGCGTATCGCACGTTTTATCGTTTACACAAAAGATGACAATTTGACAACATGTCCAACGTCGCGGTCAGTGGGGAGTCAACGTTTATCATCACCGAATCGATCCGCCGAAGATATCGAGACGTGGATTTTCTCAGGATGGCATTACAGAATGCGTCGCGTCATCGGATGCAACATTC